AGGTTGGGCAATCTACTTCTGTAGTGATACTGCCTCAGCAACCCAAGGAGGGGTCACTATGAATCGGGTCCGATTTGATGGCACATAACAACAACAATATAGATGGCTTTGGGTAGTGTTGACATTTTCACGATATTTAATCTTCCTATCCAAGAACATGGCATGTTCTTCCATTTGTGTAGGTCTCTTATAGTTTCATGTAGTATGTACTAAGCCTTATTTATTAAACCTTTCATTACATTGAGCTTACCCCACCCCAGGCCCAAATCCCCCTGAGTTGTCTTGTGGAGAAGGCACCTGTATAGTTGGCTATGGCGGTGAGAGGTTAAACTTCGTATTTCCAGTATTTGGTTGGATTCTTAGTCACAATGGGAAAAGAGAAAATACAGGTCATAAAATAACAGATAAGCCCTTGTGCGGCAGCAGCCCCAATTTGAATTTTCTCCGTGTCTGATAACTTACTAACCTAAAAGCTGAGTCTTAGATGGTTAATGAGGAGAATTTTTTTCAGGGAGCTCCATTTCCTGATGTCTGAATGGTGGATTTTCTGCTTTGGGAAATGTCACTGTGCGTTTGCTGCTGTCTCGTTTGCCCACCACACGTTTGTTGGGCCGCCTGTGTGCAGGCCTCATGCTGACATATGGCTGGGGACGTGGAGAAGGGAAGTACTGCCTCACTCGTTGTGGGCATTCAGACAGTTTCAGTCCAGTGGTGTGTTATGAGGATGGAGGCATTTTCAAAGTGCAGCAGATGCACAGGAAAGGCACCTTGTAGTCGGCCAGGAGAGTCGGAGGAGCCTTGTGCCAGGGCTGGAGTTGAGCTCTGAGGGCTGGTGGTCGAGGAGGGACCTCTAGGCAAACCAGTGCTCAGAGGTGCAGGAGCGCAGTCTGCTGGGAGCTGCCCGGAGCCTGGAAGCCTCGCCCCTTGTCCTCGTAGGGTGACATCGTGCACTCTCTTCACTCCTTCTTTCTTGCTCCAGGTTACCAGGTGACGGGTGTGTTCATGAAGAACTGGGACTCCCTGGATGAGCACGGAGTTTGC